CAGCGGGGTGGCCCGGCCCCGGGCTCCGCAGCAGGTCCCCGCGGTCGCTCAGGGCCGCCGCTGTCCCCGCGCAGGTGAGTTCATCCGGGCGCTCTACGAGTCGGAGGAGAACTGCGAGGTGGACCCCATGAAGTGCTCGGCCTCCACCTTGGCCGACCACCAGGCCAACCTGCGGATGTGCTGCGAGCTGGCGCTCTGCAAGGTGGTCAACTCGCACTGGTGAGCGCCCCAGTGGGGGGACCTCGGGGCGGGGAGGTGACAACCGCCAGGGCCCCCGAGGTCCCCTGAGGCCCCCGCGTCCCTCCCCGCTGCAGCGTGTTCCCGCGGGAGCTCAAGGAGGTCTTCGCCTCGTGGCGGCTGCGCTGCGCCGAGCGGGGCCGCGAGGACATCGCCGACCGCCTCATCAGCGCCTCGCTCTTCCTGCGCTTCCTGTGTCCTGCCGTGATGTCCCCGAGCCTCTTCGGCCTCATGCAGGAGTACCCCGACGAGCAGACCGCCCGCACCCTCACCCTCATCGCCAAGGTCATCCAGAACCTGGCCAACTTCACCAAGTGAGCGCCCCGGCGGGCAGCGGGTTGGGGCAGCTTGGGTGGGAGGTGCARGAGTTGATGGGTGGATGGGTGGGTGATGGATGGGTGGGAGATGGAGGAGCTGGTGGATGAAGGGTGGAAGATGGATGAGTTGGGGGATGGAAGATGGATGCATGGATGGATGGATGGGTGGGTGGGTGGATGGRTGGATGGATGGGAGATGGAGGAGTTGATGGGTAGATGGTTGGGAGATGGGTGAGTGGATGGGTGGATGGATGGATGCATGGATGGATGGAAGATGGGTGGAAGATGGAGGAGCTGATGGATGAAGCGTGGAAGATGGATGAGTTGGGGGATGGAAGATGGATGCATGGATGGATGGATGCATGGATGGGTGGTTGGATGGATGGGTGGGTGGTTGGGTGGAAAGAAGATGAGCAGAAGATGGAGAAGCTGAAGGACAGAAGATGGATAGATGGATGAATGGGTGGAAGATAGAAGAGTTGACGAATGAAGGCTGGAAGAGAGAAGGATGAGTGGGTTCGTGGATGGAAGATGCATGGATGAGCTGATGGATGAGCAGAAGATGGATGAGTTGATGGCTGGGTGGATGGACAGGTGCGTGAGCTGATGGAAGGCGGACAGAAGATGGAGATGGATGAATGGAAGATGGATGGGAGGTAGATGGAGGAAATGCACAGAGGGATGGGGTGATGGGAGATGGATGGATGGGTAGAAGCTGGACAGGCAGGAGAACGATGGCTGGCGAGCTGGGTGACAGATGGACCTGCCCACAGGTTTGGCAGCAAGGAGGAGTACATGGCCTTCATGAACGAGTTCCTGGAGCTGGAGTGGGCCAGCATGCAGCAGTTCCTCTACGAGATCTCCAACCTGGACACCCTCACCAACAGCACCAGCTTCGAGGGCTACATCGACCTGGGCCGCGAGCTCTCCACGCTGCACGCCCTGCTCTGGGAGGTCATGTCCCAGCTGAGCAAGGTACCGCTGGCCCGGACGCCTGGGCCCTTCTCTGGAGCGGGGAAGGGTGGTGGACGCCCCGGTCCTTGTTCTGGGAGGGTAACCAAGAGCATGGGTGGTTGGGTCCTGCATGTGGATGGTGGTGACTGAGGGACTTGAGGTCCTCTTAGGGAAGACTTTGGAGACCAAGGGTCCTGGTCTCACCCATAGGCACCTGGACACTTGGGTTCCTCTTGGGGAAGAGTTTTGGAGACCTAGATGTCAGGTCACCCCCAGGCACTTGAGTTCCTCTTGAGATGTTTGGAGACTCGGACACCCGGTTTTCACCTTGGGGAGACGTTAGTGGACCCCAAGATCTGGGTTCCTCTTTGGAGAGATCTTTGGAGACCCCAAGACCCAAGTTCCTTTTGTGGAAGACATTTGGGTGTCCAGACACCTGGATTCCTCCTTGGGGAGATGTTACTGCACTCTAAGACTTGGGTTCCCTTTGGGGGAGATGTTTGCGGATCTCAAGACCTGGATTTCTCCTTGAGGAGATCTTTGGGGATCCCAAGACGCAGATTCCTCCTTGTGGAGACATTTGTGGAGCCCAAGACCCAGGTTCCTCCTTGGGCAGATCTTTGTGGACCCCAAGACTCATATTTGTCCTTGGGGAGATGTTAGTGGACCCCAAGTCCCACGTTCCTCTTTGGGGAGATCTTTGTGGATCCCAAGACCTGGATTCTTGGGGAGATCCTTGGGGACCCCAAGACCCAGGCTCCTCCTTGGGGAGGTGTTAGTGGAGCCTAAGACCCAGATTCCTCGTTGGAAAGATCTTTGGGGACCCCAAGCCCTGGGTTCCTCCTTGGGTGATGTTAGTGGACCCCAAGGTCTGGGTTCCTCCTTGGGGAGATACTTGTGGATCTGAAGACCCAGGTTTGTTCTTGGGGAGATCCTTGAGGACCCCAAGCCCCGAGTTCCACTTTGGGGAGATACGTGTGGATCTCAAGACCCTGGTTTGTCCCTGGGGAGATCCTTGGGGACTCCAAGACCTGGGTTCTTCCTTGGGGAGATCCTTGGGGACCCCAAGCCCTGGGTTCCTGGGGAGATCCTTGGGGACGCCAAGCTCTGGGTTCTTGGGGAGATCCTTGAGGAGCCCAAGCCCTGGGTTCCTCCTTGGGAGATGTTAGTAGACCCCAAGGCCTGGGTTCCTCCTCAGGGAGATCCTTGTGGATCTCAAGACCCTGGTTTGTTCCTGGGGAGATCCTTGGGGACCTCAAGCCCTGGGTTCTTGGGGAGATCCTTGGGGACCCCAAGCCCCAGGTTCCTCCTTGGGAGATGTTAGTGGACCCCAAGGCCAGGGTTCCTCCTCAGGGAGATCCTTGTGGATCTCAAGACCCTGGTTTGTTCCTGGGGAGATCCTTGGGGACCCCAAGCCCCGGTTTCTTCCTTGGGGAAATCCTTGAGGACCCCAAGGCCTGGGTTCCTCCTTGGGGAGATCCTTGTGGATCTCAAGACCCTGGTTTGTTCCTGGGGAGATCCTTGGGGACTCCAAGACCCGGGTTCTTCCTTGGGGAGATCCTTGGGGACCCCAAGGCCCAGGTTGCTCCTCGGGGAGAGGCCGGGGTGCCCGGCGAGCGGCGGGTGACGCGGGCGCCCGCAGGAGGCGCTGCTGAAGCTGGGCCCGCTGCCGCGGCTGCTCACGGACATCAGCGTGGCCCTGCGCAACCCGCACGTGCAGCGGCAGCCGAGCCACCAGGGCGAGCGGCTGCAGGCCAAGCCGCTGGTGCTGCGCGGGCCCTCGGCCGACCTCCAGCCCTACGTCATGCGGGACCTCAACAGGTGGGTGCCACCGCGGGAGGGCGGCCGGGGCGGCGGCCTCCCCGGCCTCACCTCCCGCCTCTGTCGCCCGCAGCTCCGTTGACCTCCAGTCCTACATGGTGCGAGGGCTCAACAGGTGGGACCGGCACCCAGCGGGTGGGCGGGACGTGGGGAGGGCGCCGGGGTGGCCCTGGARGGGGTGGTGGAGATGGGTCCCTCTTGGGCACCCAGGACCTGCCAAGGGTCCCCTGCGTGTCCTTGTGTGTAGGGTGGCCTTGAGGGAGTGAGGGGGAAGGTCCTCGAATGGGTCCCGTGGGTGCGGGAGAAGCGAATGGGTGAGGTCTGTCCCACCTGCGTGTCCTGGTGACCAGGGTGGCCTTGGGCAGGTGATGGAGATGGTCACCAAATGGGTCCAGGTCATGCGAGGACCTTCAAAAGGGGCTAGAGCCCTCTGTCCTGGTGGCCTTGGGCACGTGAGGAAGGTCACCAAATGGGTCCATGTGACATGGAGACCTACAAAAGGTCTGGATCTGTCCCACTTGTGTGCCCCCAAGTCCAAGGTGGCCTTGGGCAGGTGCTAGAGGTGGTCATTGAATGGGTCCATACGACATGAGGACCTTCAAATGGAGCTGGATCCGWCCATCCATCCTGGTGGCCTTGGGCAAGTGATGGAGCCAATGGGTCTGTGTGACACAAGGACCATCAAATGGAGGTCTGTCCTGGTGGCCTTGGGTGGGTGATGGAGCTGGTCTCCCAATGGGTCCATGCAACATGAGAACCTTCAAATGGAGCTGGATCTGTCTGTCCCTTGGGTGGGTGATGAAGGTCACCCAATGGGTTCACATACCACGAGGCCCTTCCAAAGGGACTTAGACCGCTCTCTTTGGTGGCCTCGGGGCGGGTGCAGCAGCTCTCCCAATGGGCCCCGGGGCCTTCCCAAGGGCCTCCATTCGTCCTCACCATGGCCACGGGGTGCGGCGGGTGCTGAGGGYGCCTCCGTCCCCGCAGCTCGGTGGACATGGCCCGCCTGCCCTCGCCGGCCAAGGAGAAGTCCTCCAAGGACATGTTCTTCGTGGCACGGCCGCCGCTCGCCCGCTCCTCGCCCGCCTACTGCACGAGCAGCTCGGACATCACGGAGCCCGACGCCAAGATGCTGAGCGTCAACAAGAGCGTCTCCATGCTGGACCTGCAGGACAGCCGCATGAACAGCGTCTCCAACCTCCAGGCCGTGGGCGACCTCCTCAACTCCAGCCAGGCCTCCATCGGCGGCCTGCGGCCCAGCCGCCTCTCGCAGGGCAGCGCGTCCAGCCTGGCGCCGGGGCTGCGCCTGGGGGTGCCCAGCGAGGGGCCGCCGCCGCTGCGGGTGCCCCTCTCCTTCCAGAACCCCCTTTTCCACCTGGCGTCGGACGGGCCGGCCCGCGCCGAGGCCAACGCG